TAATTAGCAAACCTAGGAGGTTTTTCTTGTTAATTTTTAAATTTTTCTCGTAATAATCACCGTACTCAATTACCTAATACTATTTCTAAAATCTTATCCAAAATAACAAACCAAACGAACCCAAAATCACGATGTGTGTCTCTTGGTGACCTCTACACTATTGATTGTTGCAAATGGAAGGTTCTGGAATTGATCCATATTGTATTTAAACGCTACATTAGATTAGTTAATGGTAATTTGGTCATGTGGGGTTGGGGTTTTTATTTCATTTTAGCCATTTTGTCTTAATCCATATGGTGGACTTGAACCATACGAGGGACGTTTACTTAATAGTCGATATCATAATACTGTAAATTGATTGATCTGGGTCCTAATTCAGTATCCATTACACAGATTATTAATTGTTTCGACTTTTCATATGGCTAAGTTGCACTTATTTCCATCGTTTCATTGAATTTCGGTCCAGAATCAGCCAATAGTTCTTGAAATGGCCCTCCGCCAGTTGAACATAATGTTACAAAGGGCACAAACAATTGGCGACAAATTTGTAATTCCCCACGAAATGGCTGAAACTTAGGACCAAATTAATGTGCTTGCGGCCCGGCAGCATTCAAAAGCGTGCAAGTTGAGAATTAATTGAAATTCAATTACAAACTGAAATATTGTTACTGTATTTAATATTTATGAATGACAAATTTGAAGTCATCAATTGTTTTTTTTTTTTTTTTTTTTTTGAATTGTAAATAAATATCTTCTAAAAACTATTTAAGATTCTTCCGTTTTACCATGAAACAGCTGTATCATTTGACTTATAGGTTTCAAGTTTGGCGTATGAGATTGAGAAATGACAGTCTTTTCACGTCTCCTTCGGAAACTTGAAATGTCTTTATCATTCAATGTCTATATAGTTCCACCATGATAATCTCCTAGAATTTCTTTTGTTTAGTTCATACTGTGAATTTTCAGATATTCTCTTGAAAATTTCCCTGATATTTCTGGTGCAATACCCAACTGAAAGCCTTCAAAATGCCACATCCGCCTTTGTTAAAAGTCTATGGTGACATAAAAGAATACCATTTCGCAACAGTAAAATAATATTATTATTGTATTTAATCTTTTTTTTTTTATAACCGGGGGTTCAAGTCAGTTTACACGCATCTTAACTAATCATTTGAGACCCTAAACTATCGATCGAGAAGAGTTCTAGTGTACCCCTATTACCAATCGAGACGAATCGAATTCAAAACTTCTTGATAATACATCTAAAGTTATAATAGAACCACTCGATTACCCAGAGATAGTTTAATACTTTTTTTTTTTTTTTTTTTTTTTTTTCAACGGCTAAATATCAAGTGTGAAAGTAGAAATCAATTATTGAGGTGAAGGATTGTGCAGTGTCCAAAATAATTTGGATCCAACGTTGGAAATGTCCATGCACTGCATGCATTTTACAGACACAAACGAGAGATATTCGGAGGAAGAAATAGAGAAGATTCATAAATTCACTTGTATTATTCTCTAATAACCTATCTAATCAATAATCATAAAATATATACATATCCAGAAAAATGGTATACTAATCCTAAAATATAAGCATCAATTCGAAACTCTAAGCTTTCAACCGCGAATGCCGCCGATGGAGAGAAGACGAAGTAGAAGACGAACCCGTACTTCCGGAACCTTCAATCGTTCCAAGAACAGGTCCGACAGATATTTCCCACATCTTCAGCGAAAATCTCACCACCATCCGGGCATTTCTTCTCCTCCCAGGTTAATCTATGCTTATCATACAACTCCCGATATTTCGTCACCAGCTTTCTCCCAATCGACACTTTAATCTCGTCCCGCAATTCGGGTCCGGCACGATACCACAACTCTGTGGTTATACACTTGCTCAAAACTCGACTGAAAATTTCTAAAGTAGTCTTTGGCTTGACCCGGTGTAATCGCGGCCGTCGGATTCTCCGGTAATGATTTGAAGACTTGGTCCCATGCTACCCGCCGTAGTTGGCGGCGAACTGTCTCACTTTTGCTTCGTCTGGTTAATCCATTCGTCACCGAGAGGTATTGGAGATTTGATGTACGACTTTTGATACGACGTGTTGAAGATTGTTTGCCAAGAATAGGTAAGACAAAAAACGTCCTTGTAAAGCTTCGCTTTGCTATCAAGTTTGCAGAGAAGACCGAGAATGAGCCACGCCACGTGTAAGGTGATGGCCGGCGCCGGAGCGTCGGTGGAGTCTGGACTGTCGAAGTAGGATTCCGGCAAGGATGATTTCGCCGGCGGAGGCAAGTCGGCGAGAATATCGGTTAGAACGTTACTGTAATCGGCAAGGAGAGAAGATATTTCATTGCTTGGTCGTTAAGGGATGAATTCCACCGCCGGGGACGTGGAATTTCGCTGAGTCTTTCTGTATTGAAGACTCGAAATCGGAAACCATTGCACGCACGTGACTCACTGAGTTTGACGGTGAATTGAGAGCCTGTAATCGGACGGTGGAGTTTGATTCGTGGCGAAGATTGATTCAATCTCCGGCCAGTTTTCGGCTATGGCGGTGTACATACCAAGTACACGAACATTTTCTCTGGAGGTGATTTCTTCTTTTTGGCGACGAGTTCAGGGAAACTAAGAATTAAGGCTCCTTCTTTGGAGATATCGCTAAAGCACGACTCTTTAATGGAGTCCGAGGAAGCGAAGACGTGGTCGCAGAGGATTCTTTCTCCGTTGAAGAGTGTTCTCATGGCGATCTTCACGGCGTCTAACCAGTTCTTGATTTTCACTTCAAGAGCTTCCCAGGCCATTTTGTTGATTTGAGAATTGCTGAACCGTTCCACTCCGAGACGGTAAATGCCTTCATCGATAATGTTTTGCGTATGATTTTTAAATGCTTATACATTCTTTAGCATAGCCTGCGAAATCATGCAATCTGCAATAGATTTCAAATCCGACGGCGATTGAAGATACCTCTTCTACTTCGGAGATGGAATCGCCTGCTACTCGAACATCATCGTCTTCCGGTGAGCCATCGTCCGAAATCTGAAATGCTGGATCTGGCTGATCTTGATGATCTTGTGGATACTGATTCCGGGTCTAAGTGTGCCCGGTTCATGGAGAGAATTTGATAAATTCCTTTTGTAGTCTCTTCATGGCAATTTGCATCAAGTTTTGGGCTTGGATGAGTTTTTCAGAAGCTAATTCTCTGAAACTAACAACTGCATGGCTTTCTGCAGATCGTTAACGCACTTCAAGAACTGCATGGCTTCTCCCTTATCCTCGTAAAAGAGAGAAGTACTCTAGCAAACGTTGATGAGTCCGGATCCCATTTCGTGATCATTGCCGTTGCGAATTCAATGATTTGCTCCATTGTCGTAGATTCAGAAAAGCTGGGAAGATGTGTTATTCGAGCGGGAGAAGCTCTTGAATGCGAGGGAGAGAAATCACCGACGTCGTTCTGGGGTTAAAGCAAATGCTTCTCATTCCCTTTCTCGGCATTTTTTTATCAGAAATATTATCAATAGAATTTTCTGGTAGTTTGCGAGAAAAAATAGGAAATTATTGTTGGTGGATGTGATGAAAAAGGAACAGAGGTACGTTTTTCTCCGCAGTCGCCAATCTATGGAAGTGTTGGACTTTGAAGGGATTTTATAGACGAAAGGGTGGAAGTACGCCGCCGTTGCTTGATGAGGAAGCAGCTGTGTAGGGTAGACTTTTGACTTTTAAAGTCATAGAATCCTCTTTACGCGGTACACTGTATTACTATTAGCTTAATAGCATTACAACACGACAAAGTCCAGCGTAGAGAATAATAAAAACATTGAAAAAGATTGCCATACAACAAGATTCAATTTTTTGGAAATACATATATGATTGATTCTCTTTTGTAACATTCATTCTACAAAAATTACCAAAAAAACAAATTCACATAATTCTATCATTTTCAAAGTATTCAAAATTCATCTTTCAGTGTCCGGAAAAAACAAACGCTCGCATCCCATGTCAATGTAAAATCAGAAAAATAAAAAATAAAAAAAATTGGAGCACGTGAAGAAGAGAAGGTAAACCCAGCGTACCCCAGTTTTAGTAAAGAAAAATAGACCATATTTTCATAAATAAACAGGTACCTTCTAGATGGAATACTTCGCTCTTAATTAAATATGATTATGAATTGGGGTGATCTCTTCCAAGTGCCCTGTATATTTTTAAGGAATCAGAATCGTCGGTTCCTAAGATTTGAAACCAGTCGATTCTTAGAAACCTAGAATCGGAATCTATACATAGGTTTCAGTTTCAGTCTAAGTATTCAAATTAATTTTAATTACCTCCTATTTTTAAAAATGACAAATACAACCCCAAAAATTATAATACATTCCAATAGTTTATAAAATTATAATTCAATCTCAATTTCTACACGGCTACCCGATCTCGGTTCTGATTCCGATTGTGGTTCTCGGTCTAGTATTATGATCGAAATCGAACCCAAAAATTTTCGATTCCAATTTTCTAGAACCAAACCAAACCCTAATGGACCCAATAACAGTTCGGGTTCTACCCTTTATCCATGCTCACCCCTACTTATGAAGGACAAATGACACATAATAAAAAACAAATTGTTTATTTCTCAAATGTTTTATCAAATTATCAATATTTAATATTTTAAAATCATTTAATATATTTAACATTTTAATCATGTGACAAATATTAGATATTATCTTTTTTTTATTGCACAGAAAAAACAAATAAGGTTATATAATCGTTGTATCGAAATTTTGTGTCTGAATTAACTTTTTATAAAGCTTCTATAATATTACACATACAACATTTTCATATACATTTTTTATACAATATAATGTGACAAAAGATGATTAGGTAAAAGTTTATTTTTAATTAAAATCAGTCAATCATCTTTAAAATATTCATTTTATTATAATTATAGATGAAATTTTTAAGTTAAATATTTTTGTAGAAAAGAAATTCTCGAGACTAAAGCAAAGAAATCAAGCATGAGCAGAAAATCAAAATACTATAGCGAGGGAATGTCGGCAGTCGCTTTACGCTTTGAGCAATGAAACGCAGTCGTCTTCGCAGAGTTACTTGCAACAGAGAAGCTACTCGTTAAAGCAACTGTGACATATCTTCTTTAAAATCCATTTATTGAAGGGATCGTTTTCAGTTGAGTTAACAGCATTAATGATTTGAAAGAAACGTTTCTACCATTAGAATGGGCAACTCCCACTCCCATGGTCATCACCATCATCGCAAGAACCGTAACGGTAACGGATCGAACGCTTCTCTCGGAGATAAAATGGCTACTCCTGTTCCTCCCTTCAAACATGCTCTTTCTGATCACCATCATCATTTCCCATCACAGAACCCCACCTCAGCCTCAATGTCCTTGCCTTATGCTCAAGTTGACTCCTGCGTACGAGCGCTCGCCGGCCAAGCCGAAGGGTTTGGCCGCTTCGCCGTTGGTGGGCTCCACGGTGCCCTCTATCATGTCACCTCTTTACTAGGTAATACTTTGCTTTGCAATTGTTACGATTATGGGAAAATTCTTGTTTAGGAATTGATGAAACGAATGGTTCCATTTAATTAAGTTTTAATCTTGTGTTTTTATATTTGTGTATGTGCTCTAGTTATTAAAATTATTGAATTTTAGCAAGTGTTTTATAATTGTGGTCTCACACTAGTATTTGGGAAAGAAGCATTATCTTTACTCTAATTTGAAGATTATACTGTTGGGTTTAGACTGAACTTTTGGTGATAGTAAATATAGTTAGAACCATCTGTTTTGTAGTGGCTTTTGATATTAATCATTCCTTTTTTTCTGCATTTGTGTGTGTGGGGTTGTAGATGATGGGCCAGGATCACTTCGCGAAGGTTGTCGAAGAAAAGAACCACTTTGGATTGTGTTTGAAGTGTCAGGCACCATCCAGCTTTACTCTTACTTGAGTGTCTCGTCTTATAAAACAATAGATGGCCGCGGCCAAAGGATAAAACTTACAGGGAAGGGCTTGAGGCTGAGTGAATGTGAACATGTTATAATATGTAATCTAGAGTTTGAAGGTGGCAGAGGACATGATGTGGATGGCATTCAAATAAAACCCAACTCAAAACATATATGGATAGACCGTTGTAGCCTCCGTGATTACGAGGATGGGCTGATAGATATGACCCGTGGAAGCACAGATATTACAATATCTAGGTGGGTTTGTCTCACTCTTTAAGATTTTGTGCTAGTAATAAGATTGTACTTCTTGATATCTTTAAGCATTTTATGCAGGTGTCACTTTTCATCCCATGACAAGACAATGCTCATCGGAGGAGACCCCTCTCACATTGGTGATAGATGTATTAGAGTGACCATTCACCACTGTTTTTTTGATGGGACTCGACAGCGACATCCTCGTGTTAGATTTGCAAAAGTACATCTTTACAATAATTACACCAGAAACTGGGGAATTTATGCTGTTTGTGCCAGTGTTGAATCACAGGTGATAATACTTCCAACAATTTGAAATGAGCTTTTGGTTCAGACTCTTTTTGAAACTTTTGAGGGCATAACTGAATTATGGTTTTGTTCCCCTAATATCTTGATATTTGCTTTTGACATCAGATATACTCCCAATGTAATATATATGAAGCGGGACAAAAGAAGGTAGCATTTAAGTATCTTACGGAGAAGGTGGGTTTTTTTTTTTTTCCCCTTCAATTGCTTATCTGCATTACCATATTGATTTTTAGGCTTCAACCATGTATGGGCTTAAAATACTGATGCCATTGAAAAATGGTGAAAATTTTCTGGAGTAGAACGTAGTCAGAATTCAGTTCAAGTGTGTGCTCTGGAGGACCTTTTATTCATTTATAGATAAATATCTAAGTTGTGTCGAGTAGAAGTCCCAGAACTTTGAGTAATATTACACCAACAATCCTTACTCACAAACTTTCTTTCACAATCCTGACGTGACAGCTCGTAATTGGTCAGCTCGCAATTAATTAGTGGGACCCATGCGAAACCCATGTGGGATCATTGTGAACTGACCAATTGCGAGCTGTTACGTCAGGGTTGTGAGAGAAAATTTGTGAAAGAGGATTGTTGGTATAGTATTATTCCAGAACTTTTAACTAGTTGGTTAATAAAGTATCAAAAGCAATCGGTCCACCCTAGTGACTGCCGCCAATGCTCGTCAACTTTGGAGAGAAAAATGAATGATCCCATCTCTCAGTGGGGGGATACAAATAGTTGGCAAATGGCTTTTTTGCACATAATTCCCCGAGGGCAGTAAACTTTGTGCTTTCTTTTCCATAAGCTTGTGGCCTGAAGTATCTTTCTAAAATTATGGTGAAAGAGACTTCAGGAGCTCAACACCATCAAAACTGCCCCAAGTTTTAGGATTTTGAAACAATATTCCTCTCCACAAATTTTATTTCTTATGATGTCAACCTCTAAAGAATTTTTTTTTTTTTTTTTAAAAGTTCTGAATGTTAATACAATTTATAATGGTAACTAATTAGACTGCATTGAAACACTCAGGACTTTGGATATCATCGATCTTACTGTGTTAGATCTTGGCAGGTCAGGTGTGTAATATGAGTTAGGAGAATTGTTTATATCATGTGATGGTGTAAAGGCCATCATCCTGACTTAGCAAGGACTGGAAATAGATTGAAACTCAAAATAGATTCATCCTAATTGTTGATAGTTTGTGCAGAAACCAAGTTGAAGCCCAGAACCTCTGCCAAATTTTACCTTCTCATGCTATCTGCTTTGTCTCACCTAGATAAAAAAAAAAGAATCATTAATATTTGAAACTTATTTATAATGTTATGTAAACACAAACCCAAAGCTAGAGCTGGGTAAAATCCAATAATAGCATGTTCCTCTAACACACTACCTTATGTGAATTGGATGCAATCACAACCTTGAACACAAACCTAATTAATAATTAACAAATGTAACAGTGTATTCAAACACAAGACTATTTTCGTTGAATCTGGCTCTAAAAATGATAGAAAATTCCAATTGCGTTTGTGCATTTTTTTATTTTTCTGGGCCGTTCCCCACTAACCGCAACCAAATATGCCTCATATTGTGCTTCTGTTTCTACCAAAAAGGTGCCAATGTGACAATTTTAGTTGGAACCATAGAATTGTGCGTTTTGCTTATACTTAACATTTAACTTGTATTATGGTAATTCTTTATCTTACTGAAATGCTTGAATATGCTCATCAATGAGATATAATCTCGCTTGCGGCTTAACATGTTACTTGATTGATGAGAAATGAATTTGTTAACTTTCTTTTGGTTCCAGGCAGCTGACAGTGAGAGGAAGGATGGCTGCATAAAGTCAGATGGGGATTTGTTCATTGCTGAACTCAAGCAGGGTTGATGACCGAGATTGGTGAACATAGCATCTTTCACCACAGTGAATTCTACCCCAGTATGGACAGTTTAGCCTCCTACCGATGCTCTCAAACGGGTGCTCCATCACTGTACGGGATGGCAGAATGTCCACCGGCCAGCCGATCAAGTGTTGCTGCTGAGTAGCCTTACTCTAAATATCTATAACATCTATGATTCAATTTCGTCCCTTCGTTTTGTTTTTTGCTTGGATTTCTTCTATGATCTTATTGCCTTTCTAAGGGCTATGTAAATTATTTGCTGCTTGTATATTGCAGCCTATCTTAAAGTTCTTAAGGATAACAAAAATGAATAATAAATCTGTTTGTTTATATTTTATACCTTATTCTTAATCCTTTATCAAAATAACTTTTTGTTTCATTATTATGAATATTATTAATTTTATTCAATTATTTTTAGCTCCTTAAGTTTATTAATTTAATTAAACACCTATAGAAAAAAAAAAGTTTAAAATTAATAAAATACCCTCACCCACCCACCCATAGTTGCCAATTCCGGCAATCATCGTCGAAAGTAGTCGAAATCTGTCACAACGCGTACAACGACCGAATTAGCTGGTAATTCGTCGATCTGGTCGTCATTTTTGGTCGTTATGACGGCCAAATTTGACCTTTGCGGTCGTTGACAGCCATATCCGGTTGTAGATCTAGTCTTTTCGGCCAGATCTGTGGTGGATATGGCCGGAAAAGGCCAGATCGACGTACAACGGCCTATCTGTGTGGATATGGTCGGAAAAGGCTAGATCAATGCACGATCGGTCAGATCTGACGGTCTATGTCATAAAGTCATATACCAACCAATTTTGGCGATGGTGGCCAGAATCTGGCACTTGGAGGTGTGGGTGTTTTTGCATTTTATAAAAAATTTTAATTTGGGTGTTTTAGTTAATTAGCAAACCTAGGAGGTTTTTCTTGTTATTTTTAAATTTTTCTCGTAATAATCACCGTACTCAATTACCTAATACTATTTCTAAAATCTTATCCAAAATAACAAACCAAACGAACCCAAAATCACGATGTGTGTCTCTTGGTGAGCCTCTACACTATTGATTGTTGCAAATGGAAGGTTCTGGAATTGACCATATTGTATTTAAACGCTACATTAGATTAGTTAATGGTAATTTGGTCATGTGGGGTTGGGGGTTTTTATTTCATTTTAGCCATTTTGTCTTATCCATATGGTGGACTTGAACATACGAGGGACGTTTTACTTAATAGTCGATATCATAATACTGTAATTGATTGATCTGGGTCCGTAATTCAGTATCCATTACACAGATTATTAATGTTTCGACTTTTCATATGGCTAAGGTTGCACTTATTTTCCATCGTTTCATTGAATTTCGGTGCCAGAATCAGCCAATAGTTCTTGAAATGCCCTCCGCCAGTTGAACATAGATGTTACAAAGGGCACAAACAATTGGCGACAAATTTGTAATTCCCCACGAAATGGCTGAAAACTTAGGACCAAATTAATGTGCTTGCTGGCCCGGCAGCATTCAAAAGCGTGCAAGTTGAGAATTAATTGAAATTCAATTACAAACTGAAATATTGTTAACTGTATTTAATATTTATGAATGACAAATTTAAGTCACAATTGTTTTTTTTTTTTTTTTTTTTTTGAATTGTAAATAAATATCTTCTAAAAACTATTTAAGATTCTTTCCGTTTTACCATGAAACAGCTGTATCATTTGACTTATAGGTTTCAAGTTTGGCGTATGAGATTGAGAAATGACAGTCTTTTCACGTCTCCTTCGAAACTTGAAATGTCTTTATCATTCAATGTCTATATAGTTCCACCATGATAATCTCCTAGAATTTCTTTTGTTTAGTTCATACTGTGAATTTTCTAGATATTCTCTTGAAAATTTCCCCTGATATTTCTGGTGCAATACCAACTGAAAGCCTTCAAAATGCCACATCCGCCTTTGTTAAAAGTCTATGGTGACATAAAAGAATACCATTTCGCAACAGTAAAATAATATTATTATTGTATTTAATCTTTTTTTTTTTATAACCGGGGGTTCAAGTCAGTTTACACGCATCTTAACTAATCATTTGAGACCCTAAACTATCGATCGAGTAAGAGTTCTAGTGTTACCCCTATTACCAATCGAGACGAATCGATTCAAAACTTCTTGATAATACATCTAAAGTTATAATAGAACCACTCGATTACCCGAGATAGTTTAATACTTTTTTTTTTTTTTTTTTTTTTTTTTTTCAACGGCTAAATATCAAGTGTGAAAGTAGAAATCAATTATTGAGGTGAAGGATTGTGCAGTGTCCAAAATAATTTGGATCCGAACGTTGGAAATGTCCATGCACTCATGCATTTTACAGACACAAACGAGAGATATTCGGAGGAAGAAATAGAGAAGATTCATAAATTCACTTGTATTATTCTCTAATAACCTATCTAATCAATAATACATAAAATATATACATATCCAGAAAAATGGTATACTAATCCTTAAAAATAATGCATCAATTCGAAACTCTAAGCTTTCAACCGCGAATGCCGCCGATGGAGAGAAGACGAAGTAGAAGACGAACCCGTACTTCCGGAACCTTCAATCGTTCCAAGAACAGGTCCGACAATATTTCCCACATCTTCAGCGAAAATCTCACCACCATCCGGGCATTTCTTCTCCTCCCAGTTAATCTATGCTTATCATACAACTCCCGATATTTCGTCACCAGCTTTCTCCCAATCGACACTTTAATCTCGTCCCGCAATTCGGGTCCGGCACGATACCACGAACTCTGTGGTTATACACTTGCTCAAAACTCGACTGAAAATTTCTAAAGTAGTCTTTGGCTTGACCCGGTGTAATCGCGGCCGTCGGATTCTCCGGTAATGATTTGAAGACTTGGTCCCATGCTACCCGCTCGTAGTTGGCGGCGAACTGTCTCACTTTTGCTTCGTGCTGGTTAATCCATTCGTCACCGAGAGGTATTGGAGATTTGATGTACGGACTTTTGATACGACGTGTTGAAGATTGTTTGCCAAGAATAGGTAAGACAAAAAACGTCCTTGTAAAGCTTCGCTTTGCTATCAAGTTTGCAGAGAAGAACGAGAATGAGCCACGCCACGTGTAAGGTGATGGCCGGCGCCGGAGCGTCGGTGGAGTCTGGACTGTCGAAGTAGGATTCCGGCAAGGATGATTTCGCCGGCGGAGGCAAGTCGGCGAGAATATCGGTTAGAACGTTACTGTAATCGGCAAGGAGAGAAGATATTTCATTGCTTGGTCGTTAAGGG